GGAGCCGAGTTCTTACCGAGAAGTCTGCGACCGAAAATCAATAAGGCTCAAAAAAGACCACTCGAAAGCGAACTAAATTGATATATACATATATATACTTTATTAAACCCCTAACATTGTCTGAAGACTGTTCAACTAAATCCATTTTTTTTTTGTCGCTTGAAAGCAACAGAATGTGAGTGGCTGATATAATGATTCTTCGTGTCCTTACCTTAAAAATGAATGGGCCTGATCTTCATTTCAGCTCTTACAGTGGAGTAGTTGGGACCCTTCCATGAAACCCAGTTGACGCCACCTCAGGAGTTTGAATGCTTGCCACGGTAGTACCGACCGCTCAAGTTGCCTTCAACACAGCTGTTGTACAACCAGGCATTTTTATAGACAGCGGCGCAGTTGCTCAAGGAATGATCACTATCGCGATCTTTGGTTGACAATGCACAGTTACGATAGTAGCTCAAAGAATCACCGGCGGTTCCTAGGGTTGAAGGAGATCAAATTTTCATCTGTTTGCTTAAATTGGCCTTCATTACAATGAAACCAAGATGGAGGCTCTCCCTTGTTCGGAGGCAGCCTGCATTGTTGACGTGTTTTTTTAGGACGAGCGCTAGGAATGTGAGGTGAGGGAATTGCACCATACACCTCACACATAGACGTGTCGCTGACCAATCGTGTTTTTGGGTTGCTTCAGTATTTCTTGATTACGATTTATAATTTTGCGTGACTCTGTCCAATTTAAAAGGTTTAAGTTCGGTAGTCAAGGTAACACAGTCCAAAGTCAGAGCATTTGTCTGCATCAATTGTAGTTCCAAAATTAATGGTTTATTTCCTCTTTTCTTCTTCATTTTTTTCTCTTCGTTTGCGAGGTTTACAAAGGTGTATTTTAATCAAGAATGGAGCGAAGAGAAGGAAAAACTACTTTGAGTATTTCATTTTAGCGTACGGTCCAACAAAATATTTCCATATCCAACAGGTTTGAAAACATTGTTGGAACAGGGAAATAAGTTCTCTCAATTTATAATCCCCTTATGACATTATGATCCATGTAATCGAGCAAAAGTTCTGGCCTTTGTATGATTCCCCAGATATTTGATATATAGCATTATAATGGAGAGAGGCAAACCTAGTAGGGGTCGAGGCTCGCGATTCTCATCCCGAGTTCCTTGCGTCCCCACTTGGAACGCCTGACCAACTACGAAGAAAAAAAACCAGGTTGCGTTTTTAGACTCTAGATTTTATTTCGCAACTGCGAGTAAAACTAAATGGCAATGGAGGTCAACAACCTTAACCTTCAGTCAGAGTAGTTTCGAGGGTAAATTTTGTGTCTGACGTAATACCAAAGCAGAAGGACGATATAAATATAAAAAAAAACCAAGAAAAGAAAAACTGCCGAGAACTCTTTTAACCCTTTCACTCCCAAGATCTTAATAGTAATTGTGCTTACACCCCGCCAAACAATTTTTTATGTTGTTAGTTCTGAAATTTGGTACTGGATCAACTAAAAATCTCTTAATGGATATACTTTTTCTTTATCTTCATCACTTGTCTGCTCGACATTGCATTGATATTGTGAAGAGAAATTCTGCTTTGGTCACTCATGGGAGCTAAAAGGATTAAAGACACATGTTCTAGAACGATCACAGAACGCAGAAATTTCTGCAAACATCGATACAATCTCAGCTCAAGATGATCAATACCGACATTTCAATGGATATTGCTGAAGTTGCTCATAAAGTTTGTCAGTTTCAAGATTTCGATCGTAAAATGAACAGTGACACACGAATAGGTGGTTTGCAACCAATCTCTGGAGACACAGGTAACTGGTGAAAGGAACAAATGTTGGTGGACGAACAAAAGAAGATAATGATATATCCATTGTTTACGTCCACCAACATGGTGGCCATGACGTAAAGCCTTGGTCAAACGGCGCATGATAGTCGATGATAGTTGATTCTCTTCAAACTATCATCAACTATCACCAACTATCATTCGCATGGTCAAACAGCCAAAAAAGTTCGTGATAGTTGACGATAGTTCACCGGCAGTCGCACGAGCAAAGTCACCCGAGGAGCTAGTTCCAGGCTCTTTTCGCGTAAAATGTGAACACTAACAGGGCTTTGCGTGAGACAAACAAACTTGTTGAAGTATGAATTTATCACGACGAAAGAGGGCGGCAGCTTGCTTACTAGTAATCGATTTGTTGGAGGAGTGTACGGAGGATGAATCTGGAGAGCGTTGGTGGAAGAGAGGACGGACAAAGGAATGGATTAAAAGGAGAAACGAAAGAGAGATGTTGAAATTGGTGGAAGAATTGCGAGTGGAGGACACTGCCGCTTACAAGGAAATGTTGCGAATCAACGTTGAAACCTTTCAGGAAATATTGAACGCTATCGGGCCTAAGATTAAACCGGGCCATTTTAAACGAGCCCGCC